GCCTATGGTTAATTACATCCCTGTTCTGCAAACTGCTTAGAGGTTAAATACAAAGTAAGCCACTAAATTTAAGTCTTCGTTGAAGTGCAGAGGGTTGGATCAGGGCCATTGCGGTGACATGTTGTGTTTGCAAACACCTTCAGTCAGGAGACGTTCCTTATGCAGACCACAGCCTAGGGCAGAAAGATCCCACCTGCCTTTGAACTGCCTAGAAGCAAAGGGCTGAACCCGTGCTGAGGTTTGCTAAGGTCTGCAGCATCCCAGCGGGATGGCGGCTGGTGCTTTTGCCACCTTGGCAACTTGATTTCAGTGCATCTCCACCCCTTGCTGCAGTCTGCCTGGAGAAACATCCCATGTCCAGCCTTGTGCCAGAGCCTGGGAGCAGATGTAGAGGGTGACAGCCTGGTGTCCGAGCAGAGATCTCAGTGTGGGGATCCCCTGTGGGGCTGGCGGGATAATTTCAAAGAAAGGAAGGCAGGACAGGATCCCCCTGCCCGCTCCCGTGAGCTGTGAGGGGCTGCGCGGGGGGCACACGAAGGGGATTTGAGAGAACAATTGACACGTGGAAGGCTGACACCTTTATCTGCAGAATTAACAACTTACACAAACAAGATCCGTTAAAATGAGTTTCCTCTTTAGCAGCAGTTGCATATGCTGCATTTCAATTGCTGGTCAATTTTCCTTCTTTCTAGCTACATGTCCCTTTTCCTTCTACCCTGTTAAGCTCAAATCAGATCAAACCATAATCCACATCACTGTAAAATAATAGGGTCCGAAGTGATGGGCTCAAGGCATTATCAGCGTTCATCAGTCCCTCTCTTTGCCCTCTCCAACTGCCTGGTCTGCCCAGGGGCAGGAGCTGTCTCAGCCCCAACCCCACACAAGGTTTTTTTTTTGTCTGGATTTCAATTCAGGGGCTCAGTAGTTACAGTGGAAGTCCGTCAAATCACGGTGCCTGACTAAAGCTTTCAACTTGCTATTCAATTAGACTTCAAGGATTACAGAGATATTTGGTGGTAACCAAGTTTTTGGATATGTGCTTTAATGCAGTTACAGAAATCGGGCCCGATCCTGCAGGTTCTGGCTCATGTGAATTCCTGAGACTGGGCTCACAATTTTTTTTGGGAAAAACAAGCACCAGATGATGCTACTCAACAGAAGCCATTTGCAGGAACATGCAACCCATGCTGGGGCATCTGTGCTGTCTGCTGGGCTTTGCTTGTCCTCAGCCCTTGAGAGGTGCAGGAGGGTCTTGCCAGGCACTTTGTGTCTGGTTTCCTCTGTAAGGAAGCAAGTGATGGTTTTTTGCAACTATTTCTTTATCTACTTGGGGAAAAGTTTGATGCACTGAGTATCTTCTTACAAAATAGGTACAAAGGGAGATTAAAATGAAAAAAATAAAAAAATATCTGCAAGGACACTGTGTAATTTAGAAGCTCATCCTTTTAGTACTTTTCCTTTATAACTGCAAGGAAAAAGCATCAGTCAATCACTTGGAATAAAATCCTGGCAAAAATTCTCAGCCAGTTTCTTGAATTATGAGGCAAGTTTTTTTATGGGAAATAAATCTCTTCTATCATAATGCAGCTATGGGACATTTAAAATTTATCCTCTGCTTGACATGTTTTGGCCAAAACCTGATCTCTTTCTAAAAGATACGCTTGATTTGGTTGATGGAGGAATGAAAAATCTGGGTGGTGACAGAATTTGTTTAATATAGTGGGGCTTGGTTTGTGTGTCCCTGGATGAAGATGAAAATCTGATTTTTCTGCTTTAAAAATTTTGTGAATAGATGTTGTTTAGTCAGCACCTTTCAGTGAACAGAGATGTGTGTTTGAAGCCCGTGAAGACTGGAAGTCTCTAGAGATTTTGTTTTTAAAATAAACAGTATTGAAGTTAGGTTGATTTTTTTACCTCATCCCCTTATGGGACTAAAAAGGTTTTAAGCTGCATCTCCATGGCTGTTGCTTTGTCTTGTCTGGAAAGAGAGTTTAAGCATCGAAGCTGTTGTATTGTTGTCACAGGTTGCAACACATTCTACACTGCCAGGGCAGGCAAGTGTTGTTGAGGTCCCCTTAGTCCCTCCCCACCTCTCCTTGACCCCATGGTGCATCAGGGACAAGAAACCTTCCCTTCCCGTGAGCTCCTCCACATTAATTCATATAAAGGGCATTTACCTGCTGCTTGGGAACGAAAAATTCCCTTTATTATTAAAGCATCAGACTGGGATCTCAGAGGCTGGAGATGAGTTTCTCATTCTGACATTTCCCCCAGTTTATCCCAGAGGCTTTTTGTGATTTTGGGGCACACCTTGCTCCTCCTGAGCACACTGTGAGGAGCAGTGAGCTGCATGGTTGATCACACACTGGAGAAGCTGGTAGCTTTAACCTGGCCCCTTGGGAGTGTGTTCCCATGCAAGCCCTGTGGTGTGAGGGCACTGTGTGTGATGTGCTGGATCAAAGGGGCTCACTTTGCCCCAGAGGGGGGAAATATGATATGATGGTGTTTAATAATCTGCCATGAGGGATTCCTCTTTTCATCTTGTGTCATGTGGGATCTGTCAAGGTGAAGCCTGTTTAGGATGCTTTGGGAAATCACATCTGTTGGGCCTCTATGCCACAGTTCAAGCAGTCAAGAGTTTTGCTATAGAATAATGATGTTTAAATGCTCCCTGAGAAGCTGGTTTCAGTGGGTGATGGCAGAGATTTGGCTTAAACTACTCAGCATGGCCAGGGACTTGCTCCCCACAAGGGAGGTAAGTGAGTGTCTCAGAGTGGGAGTTGCAAGGGAGAGATGGTGCAGATGGGAGTATCCCAAGCCTGTCCTTCAGGGTATGACACACCAGTGTGGTACCTGCAAGTCTTTGCTTCATACTTTGTGATGGTTTTCATTGGATGTGATGCTTCCCATCCTCTGGGGTTTTTGCTGTGGTCATTCTCCATAATTTCATGAGATAGCTGTGTCCTTCCAGCGTTGGTGTCTCCTGGGGGTGAGAGTGGAAAGGGTGTAATGATAAAAGCATGTTATGGCAATGTCTCCTTACATGAGTGGGATCCAAGGACCTGCAGTCCTGATTTATAGCGTTGCTACTTCTGTAAGCATGGTACTTTTGGATAGACATGCTTTTGGATCTTTCCTAGTGCCAAAATAATGTCTCCTTTGTGCCAACAGGAGTTACTCCAATGATCAGAAAGGAGAAGTGATGTGTTTTGTGTGTCCCTCCTGTGTAACATGCCCTGTCAGGAATAGGGCTGTAAAATTACAGGGATTTAACATGAGTAACTGAGCCAAATGGACACCTCTAGCAATTCAGAGTTGCTTTTCCAAGTAGTGTCAGAAAGGGAGTCTTAGCCCTGCAGCACTGATGTGCAGAGAGAGCAGGTGGTCCTTAGGGCAGGTGTGATGCTACTTCTCCTCCAGCTGTGATCACCCTTCCAGCAAGGTTGCTGCTTCTGCTCTGTGGGTCACATTGCTACCTGCCCTCCCTGCTATGGGGCAGATCCTGCCACCCTATTTCATACAAACCACCCAGGGGGCTGGCCACAGTCCTGTACTCTTCATCAGCTCTGGGTCCTGTCTATATCAGGGAAGATCTCCAGATCTTAGAGTTGTCCAAGCCTCTGCTGAAGCTTATATCCTCCTGTCCCAACGGTAGAATCATAGCATGTGTGGGGTTGGAAGGGACCTTTAAAGGTTATCTAGTCCAGCCCCTCTGCACTGCACAGGGACCTTTTTAACTATATCAGGTTGCTCAGAGCCTTGTCAAGCCTGACCTTGAATGTTGCCAGGGATGGTGTGTCCTTGAGACACTTTTGGGGTAGAAAATAAAGCCATCTTGCAACCTAACCTTTTGATAGGACCTTAGCTGCTGAGATGCCCTTGTTGATGACCTGAGATACCTTGAAAAAGATAGCAGCCTTCTGCATATGTGTCATGGCCTGAGCCTTCCTCCATGGAGAGGTAAATACGGGCATTTCAGGAGACATCTAAAAAGTTGCAGCTCCATTTTTCTCTTCAACTGGATTGATATGGCTACTTCAGCTCAGTTGAGCTTCCATTTAGCTGGGAAGTCCTGTTTCACTGCCTTGCTGATATCACAAAAAGAAGTCTGTTAATTGGCAAACACTGATGGGTTCAGCAAAGTAATAAATGACCTGTTAACTCCCCTCTCCTAACTCTACATGGTTACAATTTCAGGTCCTCATACAAAAGTGGTCCGTCGCATTTTCACCAACAGCAGGGAGAGGTGGAGGCAGCAGAACGTCAACGGAGCCTTTGCAGAGCTTCGCAAGCTCATCCCCCCCCACCCGCCCGACAAAAAACTGAGCAAGAACGAGATTTTGCGCCTGGCTATGAAATACATCAACTTCCTGGCCAAGCTGCTCAACGACCAAGAGGAAGAAGGAAACCAAAGGGGCAAAGTGAACAAAGACTCTGGGATAGTCCAGGAAGACCTCCTGCAGGACATGTTGTCTCCTAACTCTAGCTGTGGAAGTTCTTTAGATGGAGCAGCAAGCCCGGACAGCTTCACAGAGGAGCATGAAACACTGGACTCGAAGCACGCGCGGAGCCTGCACCACAGCATCCTGCCTGTCGAAGGCAACGCTCAGCGGTGATAACCTCCCGTGTGCACCCAGGGGGGAGGAGAGACCCGAGCGTGCTGATGCTGGAACTTGTGCCTGTGGGGTTTGTGGCTCGGCCTTTTTCCCTGCGGGCTCAGGCTCCCTGTTCTCCCCAGCCCGGGATGGAGTGGATGGCGCTTTGGCCAAGGACGAGGCCAAAGCAGGTGGACGTTCGGTATTTAGGTACGTGGTCGTACAAAGAAGAAAAGCATTGAAGTCATCTTCATTGTACATACTGCTCGTGATGTGACTCTGCGGAGGGACAGGAGACACGGCCAGCACCTCTGCAGCATTTAGAGGGTTTTCAGACCATCTGACAACTGTCGCGTTGCCCGGCTGAGACATAAAACTTCTCTTTCACTGCTGGTGGAGCCACCCGTGCTTTCCAGCTCCACGTGGATCTGGAAACTGCTGAAACCTGCCAGTGCTGCAGCATTTCTCCAGCCTGTGGCATGTATACAGCTGGTCTGGGCAGGAGCTGGGACCAGGTGCTCCTGTTGTCTGAGAGCTTTTGACTCTATCTTTTTAAAGAGGTGAAAAAATCCCAACCCTCAGCAAAAGAACTATTAAAAAGGATTAAGACTTTTTCTTTTCCTCTCCTTTTTTTTTTTTTTTTAGATTTTTTTTTTTCCCCCTTCCTCTTTCTTCCTTTCCCTTAGACTTAACTCTGGATCATTTGGGGTTGTTGTATTTATGACGTGGGATCACTTCTGTTTAATGCTGTCATGCAGTATCCACTGAATGAAAAGGTACATAGTTGTTTTCTGCTGCCCTCCCAGTCCCAATTTTTCTGCTAGGAATGTTCAGTGGGGGAGCTCCAAGTCTCTTGTGTTCTCCTGGAGTTTTCCCAGCAGTGTCTGTAGGGCCAGAGCTTCTCTCAAGGAAGATGGAATTCAGAATTGGTAAAGGGGGAAAAAATTTGCTAGGGGAGCATCCCCTTGGACAGGGGGTCTTTACATTCAATAAGCAACAAAAAGGCAAAAAGAATCAATGATGCATCAACAGTGTGTGTGTGTATATAGGGTTATAAAAGGGTTTTAATGGTATGCTTTGAAACTTCTTATTTTCTTGTGTGAAAATGGTGGTGGTTCAGCTGCACCAATGCCTGCAGGGTGGACTCCAGTGCTGGATTTAATACGATGCCAGGAGAGTCCTCACCTGCCTGAGGCTGGTAGGAGGCTACAGCCTCTCTGCATCTTGTGGGGAAGTGCTAAAAGCAGTGGGGAGGTTAGCCTCCATTCCAGGGTGCTTGGATTGGTGCAAAATTGATGACTGTGACTTGAACCAGTCCTCCTATCCCTGCTGCACCCCAGGAGGGTGTTTGGGAAGCAGAGCTGGGGAACAGGAGGCTGCTCCTGCAGTGGCTGGGAGCTCAGGACCACATCACACCATCACCCCTGCATCAGGCCCACCTCTCACCTGCTGCCTGGTGGAGTGGTTGCTCCAAACCCATCCTCCCCCTCTGCAGAGATGTCAAGGCACAGAATCCTCCACCATGTTACAGGAAAATAACCAAACCAACCTCCCACATACATCTTTTGGAAGGGAAGTGTCCTCAGAGCGGGGACACCTTCCACGGCACTCACCCCTTTTCAAAAGTGCTGAGGTACAAGGAAACACAGAGCATTTGGGCAAGTGTTTGCAAGCCTGTTTGGGCTTAATTCAGGGTCCCATCATTTCCATCCTTACTTGGTTTTAATGCCTCTTTGTAAATAATAGGTGGGAGGCTGGTGTGCGGGTTGCCACGTTAGGTGGAGTTAGTTGTCTGGGAAGGGGACCTGACCTATGGAAGGGTTTCTGTCATAGATCTCAAATTCTCTGAAACCACCAACCTCCCCCATCTTAAATTGGGCAAAGGGAGGAAGGCTCCTTCCCTGGGTTTGGATAGCCTGTGCGTGGGGGCTTTTATTAAAGGGGGTTTTCTGCAGGGCTGGGCCAGGGGAGTGGTGCTGGGTGATGGTGGGGTGATGCTGAGGAAGAAGTTTGGGCTGCTCCTGGTGCCAGGGGTAGGAGAGGCAGGGACGGGGGGGGGGGGGGAAATCCTCTGGGAAGGGAGGGAGATGCTGTCACACAGGTAAAGCTCTTGCTTTTCAGCATTCAAAATTACCCCCGGGTGGGGTGAGTGGGGGTTTTGCACCCTTTTCATTAAACTATTTCAAGAAACAAATAAATCACCGACACTCAGAAATTCCTCATTCCCCACAATTTTATTTCTCTCCTTTTTGAACTTGCCAGTAGTTGAACAGTTGGGAAAAATGGTACAACCGTGGTGGCAGCCCCCCCAACACCCCCATGCACACACGTGCCTGCTCGTAGCCTGTGGCAGAGCACGCTGTAGGTCTCCTGGGGTATGTACAGTTGTACTTTAATTGTGATTTGAATGGTACATTTCCTCTGCCCACCTCTCCTGCCTGCTTCATCTCTCGCTGTGTGAACCATCGCCCCCCGTTTCTGTTGGAAACAGCACTTTGGGGCCGTGTTGTACCGTGTGAGTGAATTCCCAACTTGGGATTTTTTTTGGGTTTTTCAGCCCCGTCCCTTTCTCTACCACCCTCCCCTTGGATTTCTGCATTTTTTCTGCAGAAACGAAGTAACCAGACCTGGTACCCTGAGTCTCAACCCACTGTGGACGTGCTATTTAGAAAACACATTTGTTGTAATGTGTGTGTATATATAAATATATATATATAATGAATATATCAAGAATATTTCTAAATAAAGTTTTACAAAGCAGCCTCCACTTGCTGTCTCCCTCTCTCCTGCCTCATCACTCGGATCCATCACCACTTCAGTATTTCATTTCTGGGCATTTTGGGGTGAGGATACCAGGATGACCCATTCCCATCCCCACCCATCAAAAGTCATGAACAAGCAGAAAAAACCCAACAACCTTGCAAAAAGATTTGCTAATTATTATTATTATTTTGTTACTTGCTTGACTCACACCGTCCAGCAAGGGCTGGGCTTTTGCTGCCTGAGCAAGCGTGAGGAAGAGCACGCGGGGTGGGCAGGAAGGAAGCAGGGTGATGAAGCAATCCCCCCCCACACCCCTCTGCAGGCGAGCGTTACCAGCTGCCACCCAGTTACCTCCAGCACATTACTTGCAGGTTCCCCCCAGAAGGTTCTGACAGCCTTTTCCCTTCTTTTGGTGAGGGGGGATGATGTGGGGAGAGGGTTGCTGGGGACAACGCTGCTTCCCTTCACACCTTGGCAAGGGTTCAGCCACGATTTAACAGGCAATGACAATAATTCCTCTTTTTATGTGTGTGTGGTTTGTTTTTGTTTTGTCTTTTTTTTTTTTTTTTTTTTTTTAAAAAGTTGTT